CTCCTCCTCCTCCCCCTCCTCCTCCTCCTGCCCCTCCTGATACTCATCCACTTTTTCCTTCCTCGCGGTCTCGTTCCTGTCTTCCCCGCCGTCGCTCGGGCCCTCGGCGGCGGAGCCCCTCGCGCGCCCCTCGGCCCCCGCCGGGGCGGTGCGCGGCCCTCTCGCGCCCGTGGGTGCGGCGTTTCGCGCGGAGGGCGCGGCGGTGCGGGCCGAGGCGCCGAGGAGCGGCACGTCGGGCGCGCTTTAGGTCGGGCGTGTCCCCCTACAGTGTACTCCGTCTCCTCCTCCTCCTCCTCCTCCTCCTCCTACTCCTCCTCCTCCTCGTCGTCCTCCTCCTCCTCCTCCTCCTCCTCTTTCTCCTCCTCTTCCCTCCTCCTCCTCCTCCTCGCCCCTCCTCTCTCCTCCTATCGGGCCGGGCGAAAGGGCGGGATTGGGAAAGGGGGGGTACGAAATTTGCTGCAGGCAGCTGGCTTCGGTCTCACCGAGGAGCCCATTCCTCGATACATAGCCGCCTCCAGCGCCGGGAGGGGCCGGGAAAATCAGCTACGTGAGCCGAGGCGCCGAGGAGCGGCACGGGGCGTGTTTTAGGTCGGGCGTGTCCTCCTGCAGGCGGATCTTGGAGGAAAAACGAGACATAGTCAAACGTGCGCAAAACTGATCCGGCATGGGAACAAAGCTCCTCCCCATACTATTTTTGACTACCCTTGAACCTATTCCTCCTGCAGAAGGACATGCCCGACTGAATTAACATTAAGTCGGGCCTGTCCCCCCTAATTACAGGGGAATTTTCGACGAAAAAGAAAACATACCCCCAAAATAGTCATACAATAGTCCAACAATAGCCTGGGGACTAGTTTTTGAGTTTTTTGTTGTCCTTTTTTGTGCAAGTTTGGGGTATTTCTTATTTTTCGTAGAAAATCCCCCTGTACAGGGACACGCCCGACATAAGGCGAGTTGCACGAGACTCGTCACGGCCAAGGATGCTTCCGGCGAAAGCCGGAGGCGTCGGGAAAACAACACCCAGGGGGGGGTGTTCTCTTCAACTCTCCCGAGCATCGGCCAGGGGCGCTGCTCGGGGGGGGATCTGCCGCCCCTCCGCGGATCGCTTCCGCCGAAGCTCCCCCGAAAGCTTGTCCGCGCTGCTGGAGCATCAGGCGGCTGGGGGCACGAGGTCGGTGGCCCCTCTGCAGGAAGAGGATTCCGAAACCGTAAAAAAAAAAGAAACTGTGGACGATTTCTGGCTCTGTTTGACTATTTTGGGGTATTTTTCTGGCCATTCTTCATACGTCGTCCAAATCCGTCTGTAGGAGGACACGCCCGACCTCAGCGTAGTGCGACCCTCCCGCGATGGGGAGGCGCAGCGTCTGCCCGGCGCAGCAGCGGAGGCCGTCGCGCGCCGGGAGAGGCTGCGCTGGCGCCGAGGGCCCCCAGGTCGGGAGACTCTCCATGGGGGGGGATCCCATGGGGGGGTAGGAGGGGATCCCCCCCATGGGATCCCCTCCTGCCCCCCCCTGGGATCCCCAGGGGATCCTATGGGATCCCCCCCCTGGGATCCTATCCCCCCATGGGATCCCCCCCCATGAAGAGTCTCCCGACCAGGCACTCCGTGCCCAAGGGGGGGTGCTTCCTTCGCGAATCCGGCGAAGAACACGGTGCGCAGTCGATGCTGCCGCGGCGTTGCTGAGGCACCCGGGTGGACCGGGAGGGACAGAAACACACACAGACACCATTAGTCTTCGATTGCCTGGAAAATGTCGGAAAATATGGGAAGTGGTGGGGCAGACCAAAGCCCAGACAAGATGGGGAAATATGGGGAATCCGTTTATTTGTGTGTATTGATTTGTGTGTCCTGGGGCCCCTTCAGTGGGGTCCATTGAAGCGCTCGAGGAGGCGCGCAAGGAAATGGCCCGCAGCAGCGCGCGGGGCGCCGCGCGGCGTGCCGTGGTACAGAGGCAGAGCGCGTGTGCGGCCGCCCGCCGGGGAGTCCCATACGCGGCTGGTCGGGGCGGAGCGGGGCCGGGACGCAGCCGGCCCCGACTGGCAGGTCGACGAAGGCCAAATCCCAGACCCCCTCGAGTCATGAAAAAAAATCACGACGGGAAGTTTTATTTTCGGCCTCCAGGGGCCCTTGCCGGCCCTCAGGACCGTCAAAAAACGACTCGGGATGAAAAACCGGTCCCGGGGAAAGGGTCCAGACCTCGAGGGTTCGCGTCATGAAAAAATCATGACGTCGGGGGTTTGGGATCGAGGGTGCCCTTGTGTCCTGTCCATCCCGACCTGTGCAACCCGGATGTCCTGTGCGGTTTTAGGGCCGCGCTGCCGTTGGGAGGAGTCCGGTGTCCTCTCGGGTGCCCTGTCCAACCGGAGGTCCGACTGCAGGTCATGCCCACGCTGGTCGCCATGGCGCCGACGCCCTGGGCGACGGAGGCGCCGCATGCGGGGAACGATGCCCGCGAGCTGCCCCACGAGCGAGTGCACGTCAGGGCGCCAGCAAGGCCGAGGCGAAGCACGGCAGCTCCGAGAAGTCCCACGAGAGGCTCAAGCTGGAGCACAAGAAGGGCATGGTGGAACTGGACGGCATGTAGACCGAGCGTGTGACGAGAGGGTTTATCAGGCTCCAGAGATCGACCGGTGGCATTATTGCCCTCGGGCAGTCGCGTGACGAGAGGGTTCCGCTGGTGGACGAGCTGCGGAAGAAGACCGTCGTGGAGCACGAACCTGAGGCCGAGCGTGCGAAGGCCTGCCAGGTAGAGGGTCGGGCAGAGGAAACGCTGGACAGATGCAGCATCCGTCTTTTCTTATCAAACCTGCGCAGGTGGTGCGAGAGGTGATTTTTCCGGACCATCACAACAACAAGACCGCCTCTTCCCGAGCGAACGGCGTGGGGAAGGGCAAGTCGCAACGTGAACCCAGCAGCGCCCGCGCAGCGTAGGGATCATTGTCGGTTTGTGTTGACCCTACCTTTCTCTTTTCTGCTGGCGCTGACGACGGCGCGGCAGGCTCCTCTGAGTGGAGGTTTACCCGCAGACTACGGCTGCGCAGTCCCTCGTGGCCTGTGGCCATGCGAGAGCGGCCGCTGCTGCAGCAGCCCCTGCCAGCTCAGGCTACACAGTTACGAGTGGTTCTGTCTTCAGGGGGATCACTGATGGAAAGACCTCCCCGTCGTCTTCCTCGTCTTATACAATTGGTTCGCGAATCCCCCTGTCCGAATTGCATCATCGTTGTCACCTGCTTGTGTTCCCGTGAACGGTGGGACATTGCTGGGTGGCGGTCGCTTCCCCTGGCGCGGGGGAAAAGCCGACGTTGGATTGAGCGAAGCCAGCACCCAACGCAACATGCCCCCGCCCAGCTTGATTATCGAAGCCCTCAAACACGAGAGGAGGATTGTCGTGTAACGCTCCTCTTTTTCCCTCTTCCTTGCCCGTGGCCCTCTTCTTCATCACTCTCCTTCCGAGTTCGGTTTTCGTCCGACTGCTGCGCGACACTCGCCTTCATGTCTATAATTTACCTCCTGTTTGCGTTTCGGGCTCCCAGGCCCGCGATTCGGACACCCGTATCCTCCCGATTCTGGCGACGCACGTATCAGGTTCCCGTTCGCATCTTTCCGCTTAAGGCTCTTATTCCGGTTCCGGCACCAGTCTCCGCGCCAGTCTCCGGCACCAGTTCGTGAACCCGCATCGGGTTCACGACTCTCCGATTCCGGCACCAGTCTCCGCGCCTCCGCCCATTGATTGATCGGCCAGCTGGTCTGTTGGGCGGATTAGTTTTGTTCGTCTTCGTCGCTTTCCCCCCCCCCCCCCATCCGGCCTTGCAATGTTCCGCCGTGATTGCACGAATCGTTGGCGTACGTGCGCAGTGTTTGCGCAAACCCGGGGGAAGTTCATCGCGCCAGAGATCCTCGTGTGGCCCCGTTCATGCCTCTGACCCCTGCGGGGGGCTGGCGGACTTGACGACCAGACAGGTGACAACGTTGTTGTCGCAAGGCGGCCCGCCGGCTCTCTCCTCCCCGAACCCTCGAGTTATTGTTGTTATTGTTGGTGTTGGTGTTGGTGTTGGTCCTGTTGTTCGTGGTGTTGTTGCTTTTGCAGTTGCTGTTGTTAGTATTGTTGTTGTAGTAGTTATTGTTGTTGTTGCTGTTATTATATTGTTCTGTTAGGTTCGTTGGTATTGGGGTTGTCGCTGTCGTTGTTGTTAGTGTTGCTGTTGGTTGTGTTGTTTGTTGTTGTTGGTGTTGTTGTTGGTGCTGTTGTTCGTATTGTTGTGCTTGTTGTTGTTATGATTATTGTGATTATTGTTCTCTCTCTCTCTCTCTCGCTCTCTCTCTCTCTCTCCCTCTGTCTCTTTCTTGTCTCCTAGGATGGCGTGTGGGTGTGTGGTCTGTGTCCGTGTCTGTGCGTCTGTGCGGTTTGAGTGCGCCGCCCGCTCCCTTCCCTCCTGATGCGGCCGCCCTCCTCTCTTGTCCGCACCTGTGGCGGCATGGCCTACAGTGAAGTCAGGGGGACTCGTCAAGAAGAGTAAACAATAGTCTGGGAACAGTTGTTGACAATGTTTGGGCATTGTTGGGGTATGTTTGGAGCATGTGTTGTTGTTATGTCCAATCTCCCCCTGCAGGGGGACATGCCAGACCTAAGACTACAGTCGACCCGCATGGTAAGGATGGGCAACCTTCCTCAGGGCACCCCATGCATCCTTGCCCCTTCGGCCCATCCTTGGCGATTTTCGCTGGCCCACCTCGTTCGAAAAACGTTCACGTGGGCCACCAAGGCCCTTGCATCGGCGTCATCCCAGCATACTTCTGCTATGTGTGCGTCGCCCCGCCGGGGGCGACGCACGCACCGAGAAATTTCATAGTACGTGCGTCGTGGCGGGTGATTTCTGGCCACACCGCTCGGGAACTCATAGACTACAATATTGGTATACTATATGTTGGGGTCGGACGCGCGTCTCCAAGAAGGACATTTAGTATTAGTATGTCTCTGTGCGTCTCAATGCATCCTTACCGCGCATTTTTATGATACGTATTGACTGTCTCAACGCTGCTGACAGCGAGACAGTCGAGGCATCGACCGCCCCTCGCGATCACCAGCGCCGCTAGCATGTTTGGGGACAGTTTTTATTTAGAAAATTGACATACCTTCCGCAAGCCCATGCAGTTTTGGCTCAAAGTATAGTTGAACACCCTAGACGAACATTTAAGGCGGGACCCAGTAATGATTTGAGCGCGCACGATAGCGGCACAGCCGGGTGAGAGCAGGCAGGATCCGAGCCAATTTCCGGCGGAGTAGGCAGAGTTGCTCAGGGGGCAACAGGGGTCACGCAAGATGATGAGTGCGACTGAGCTCGGCCACCCGCTGGGGCGCGAATCGGAGGAGCGCGACGATCCTCACGCTTGGCCCAAGTCGAACTGGACCCTGGAAACGACAGGGCACTTTTTTTACCGGTTCTCGTTTCTGTTGCCTGTTCCGGCGCCGTTGTTTTGCCGATTCCGTCGCCGATGTTTTGCCAGTTCCGGCTCTGGCTCCATTTCCGAAGCCGTTTTATACAATTTTTGGCAACCGCTTTTTCAACGCTTCCTCTTTGAAGCGACACTTTTTTGGAAACGGTGCAAAATCGGCCCTGCCGTTTCTGAGGCCCATTGCGGCGGGAATTTATCCATGACCACCGCTTGGGGGATCGATTTTCGCGGACCTCCACAGGCGGTGGACATGGATACAGTCGGGTCCCTGGGGCCAAGATATATCCGTATCCACCGCCCGCCGGGGCACCAGGACCTCGGTTCCCAGGCGGTGGATATGGATCAATCCCTGCCTCGCAGCTGATGTCCAAAGCCGTTCCAAACCAGACCCCGCTCCGCCGCAGGGTGCGACGAGAGGCCCCGGGAAGCCCATCCTTAGCTTTTATCAGCTTTTATCAGCTTTTCCCCAGTTTTTCCTTAGCTGTTCCTTAGCTTTTCTCAGCTTTTCTCAGCTTTTCCTTAGCTTTTCCCATCTTTTCCTTACCTTTTCCTTTGCTTTTATCAGCTTTTCCTCAGCTTTTCTTAGTTTTTTCCTTAGCTGTTCCTTAGCTTGTCTCAGCTTTTCCTTAGCTTTTCCTTAGCTTTTCCTTTGCTTTTCTTTGCTTTTCCTGAGCTTTTCTGAGCTTTCCTCAAATTTTACACTGATCCACTCATACTCTGGCTCGGGGATTTATTTTGGGTCCTGCCGGGTGCTAAGATAACGCCTCGGTGCGGGGCGGGGGCGATACCCTGGGATGGACCACCTCCTACGACGGCCGAAAAAATCAAATTTTCCAAAAGGGGTTGCAATACAAATCTCATTGGAAAAATCGGGGCTGGAGGAAGAGAAGGAGGAGGAGGAGGAGGAAGATGAGGAGGAGGAGGACACGGAGGAGGACACGGAGGAGGACCGGTTTCCTCCCCGTTTTCTTTAGTTTTCCTCAGTGTTTCCTTAGTTCTCCTGAGCTTTTCATTAGTTTTCCTTAGGTTGTCCTTAGTTTTTCCTTAGTTTTCCTCAGCTTTTCCTAAGTTTTCCTTAGTTGTCCTTAGCTTTCCTCAGCTTTTCCATAGTTTTCCTTAGCTTTTCATTAGTTGTCCTTAGCTTTTCTCAGCTTTTCCCTAGCTTTTCTTTGCTTTTCTCAGCTTTTCTTGATGTTTTCATGAGCTTTGCTCAGCTTCTTCTTAGCTTTTCTTAGCCTTTCCTTTGCTTTCCCTTGCTTTTCTCAGCTTTTTCTTAGCTTTTCTAAGCTTTTCCCTAGTTTTTCTCAGCTTTTCCTTATTCGTATTCGTATTCTTATTCTCATTACAGTTCTATTTGGGATGCCACCCGAGGCGGGGCGCTGGAATTATTTTTTGTCCTTCCATTTGCGCGGTGCTAATAATATCGCTCGGCGAAAACCCCCCAAATAATTATTTAATTACGGCGCGGTGCTAATGATAACGCCGGGGGGTTCCTTAATTGCTTCTCCTCCGGGTTAACGACGACGATAACGACGACGACGCCGCCTTGCGCGGCACGGCCCCGCGAGGCTACTTTCCCGGTTCGCGCCCCGTCGGCGCCGATTTCCACCGGCCCCGCGTTGCTGACGCATCGCCGATGCTTCTGCGATGCGGTGCGATCCTCCGACCCCATCTGCTCCGGCGGCGTCATTCAGAGGTTGATGACCCAGGTCTTGTCTGGGCTGTTAATAACCCAGGACTTCCGATACCCAAGAAAAGAAGAAGATCATGTTAGTAGCTGCGATCCCCATCTTGATGTTGGGGATCACACGTGTACATGTTAGCATCCTGGGGATACCCATCTTTGCTCATCTTATCATCATTCGCATCCCGATATATATATATATATATAGAATACATGCGCCTTTCAATTCCTCACCCTCCTCCTCCTCCTGATTCCCCTCCTCCTCATCTTATCAGAGGTCGGAGCCGAGGTCGGATCTCTTGGATACTGACCTGGCCTGACCTCGCCATCGCCATCGCCATCATCTGATCGTCATATTCTGTCCTACAGCAGTTTTAGGCCCAAGCAGTTCAGCATCGTTCCTCTTGGTTCCGATGGATGAGCTGGAGGAGGTCTATCCCTCTCCC